TACATGCCCTTGACCGGAATCGAACCCGGGACCTTTCAGTCCGCAGGCCAACACTCTATCCACTGAGCCAAACCGGTTTCGGCATTATCTGTCTTCTTCACGGCTCTATCCCCAGTGCCTGGCACATAGTTTGCACTCAGTAAAGAATAAATGGATGACTATGAGCAGCTTGTACTTCTGGAACACCTTCGGAGTATCGCAGGCAACAGGAAAGAAGGCAATTTATGTCAGATGTAAAAAGCAGCTCAATATCCGACTTTTCTTAGAGAAGTCAATTTTTAAAACATTCATTAAGTTCCTACAATAAATATTTTATTCCCCTACATTTAAATATAAAACCAATAGCATCTGAATAGGCTATTGATAACATTAAGGTATATTAATGAGAATAGGTTATGTACTAAATTATGTCTAAAGTATTCAATGACAGCCGTAGCCGGCTTGGCTCAGTGGATAGAGCGTCAGCCTGCAGACTGAAGGGTCCCAGGTTTGATTCCGGCCAACGGCACATGCCTAGGTTGCAGGCTTGATCTCCAGTGTGGGGCGTGCAGGAGGCAGCTGATCAATGATTCTCTCTCATCATGGATGTTTCTCTCTCTCTCTCTCTCTCTCTCTCTTTCTCCCTTCCTCTCTGAAATCAATAAAAAACAAAATAAAATAAAGTATTCAATGACAATGTTATCCTTTGGGCACCAAAGGATATTTATAACAATCCAGACAGTATAAGCAGATATGGCCTCAGAATTGCCTCTCTGAACCCGTGACATGGCCACCCAATGGAACAGTTTGAGTTCTAACACTTTAGGGCTTGGATCATGATATTAGGAAAATACAGAGACTCTAGGGTCTTAACCATCTGGCTTTGCTTTTTTTCTCTCCCATCCAGTTAGTACAGAAGAAACCTCAAGCCTCCCAGCCCAGCGAGAGCCTCCTGCAGTTGATGGCCAAGGGGGAGAGTGAGGCCCTCTCTCTGATTTTTGCTGACTTGCACCAGCACAACCGGTTCAGGTACATGACTTAAATCAGGCCAGCCTGACATCCCTTCCTGCAGCCCAGGTGGCCTGGGCTGTGAGAGCCAAAAACCAAGAAACTTGGTTAATGAGCACAGGGACGGGCATGAAATACTGCCACCTAGGACCCAGCGTTATCCCTGACTCAGGGCAACCTTTCCCCAGTTCTCTTGGCCATATTCTCTTCCTCCACGTGGCAAGCATAGCAGCCTTGACTCCAGAGGAGGAATCTTATAAAAAATGAAAAGTGCCCTGGCCAGGTAGTTCAGTTGGTTGGAGTGTCATGCAGCACACCGAAAGGTTGCAGGTTTGGTCCCTGGTCAGGGTGTATACAAGAGGCAACCGATGGATATTTCTCTTTCTTCTCTCTCTCTCTCTCTCTCTCTCCCCCCTTCCCCTCTCTCTAAAAATCAATAAACATATCCCCAGGTGAGGATTAAAAAAGAAAATAAAAGTAACTCTCCAATAATAAGAATAAGTTAGTAACACCGGTAAAAAAGTAAAACCTAATTTCTCATCCAATTCTTAGTCCCTACAGAGAAATAAACAAAACATTGTTTAAAACACTGTCTGTTCCGTGAGTTCCTTGACCTACTCACCTGGCCTCTGATTGGACTTTATGAATCTTCTATGGTTGTTTTCTCAATGTATAGCCTGTTCTGGAAAGCTCCATTGTGCAGGCCTATTTTTTTCCATGCCTGAGGAAATATCCATGTATGTGTAGATGACTTAAGGTTTGAGTCTTAAGACTGGTTGGTATGAGAGAGACAGGAGTTGAAAATACTTACTCCACTGGGCACTACAACCAGAGAGCAAAGATTAAGTGGGATCTAGGGCCCTAGTGAACTTGATTTGTGGGTTGTTGTTTTTTTGTTTTGTTTTTTTAAAAAAAAGGAGGACAGAAATAAATTGTAATGATCACCAGAAGAGAAAAACAAAGTTATCAAAGAAGAGATTTTTGTCACAACAGGGACCAGCAGTTCAGACACAGAACAACAAAAAGAAAGTTTTCTTTGAGAGTGCCGTTAGTAAACTGAAAACCAACAGAGTCTGAGGAGAAAAATCTCTCAGAGTGGGTCAGAGCTCACACAGAACTGGGCCCAAGTCACTGCTCTGCCTGTGAGCCCGTGGGCACATTGCTAAACTCTCCGGGGCCAGTTTTCAGATCCGCACAATGGAAATGATGATAGTTCCAACCGCATCCAGATATTGTCAGGATTACGTGAGCCCCAAAGCATGAAGTGCTTGCCACACTCCTCAGCAGGTTTAGAGGCAGATTTAAATAAACTCTCAATAAATATTAACTTGTATTATTAAGGCTGCCTTGGGCTAGAAGTAGAAAAATGTTAACACCAGAAAAATTGTTAGTTGCCCACTGTTAAAGAATTTATACTGGCTCTCCACTCTGCATATCATATAGAAATCTATAATTAAGAAATTTCTGGATCAAGTGTTACCTAAATAAATTTAAAATTTTTAAAAAAAATTTCTGAATAAGATGTCATACTGCTGAGCTGGGGAGTGCTGGACTCTAATAGAACAAGATATGTTGATGTAACTTTTTGTCTCAGAATGTTAAAAATTTAAATTTTTAAAATTACTATTTGAAGGACGGCTTCTGTTTCTATTCATAGGCCACAATTCAGTCACATGACCACACTCAGCTGCAACGGAAGCTGGGAAATGCCTTCTCTATTCTGCACGTGCCCAATACAGAAGTAGATGCTTGTCCCCAAGGGAGGAGGGAAGAAGAAATCCTGGGGGCCCATTGGCAATCTCTAGCACAGAGAGCTTTGAATATTTCCAGAAGGCCAGAGGAGATTAAAACCGTTATTTGGGCACTAGCCAGATAAAGGGCGGAAAACGTGGTACAGGTCAAGGGCACAAATGAGTGTAAGACACACTTCATCCTGAGGAAGAAGCTCGATGAGTTTAGAGAAAGGGGAGGAAGCCCAGTGTGGGGAGAGGAGTGGCAATAGAAGGACGTTAGTACAAGTGGGGAGGGGCCAAACCAGGGGGGACCTGGGAAGCCATGCAAATGAACTGAGACTTTGAGTGTAATGAGAGCCTTAGCACCATTTTTAACTGGGAGGTAACATGATCCAATTTACATGTTGAAAAGGTCGTGCTGGCTGTTGCAGTGACATTTGATACGAAGAGAGGGAGAATAGGTGTAGAGGGACCAGCCAGGGAGCTATGGCAACCCAGCCTGGGCTGTCATGTAAAAACGGATCAACGGGATGTGAGAAGCAGGGAGAAGTTCATTTTTGCTCTGCTGTTATCTCGATAATGGCTTTGTTACGGTCATTTCGTTTCTTCTCCTTAATTCCCCAGAATGAAGCCCTGAGGGATGACTTTTCTCCTCACTTGGGCAGACTCTCTAGTCTGGTTGCAATTGTATCCGTTTTTGTGTGTGGACAACAATATGCAGGTTACAGCAATGGAAATAAATGGCTGAGACACAGGACTCAGCAGATGGAGCCACACCCACGCCTCCTCTGCCACGTCAGCATCCGGGGTCTGCTCCCTGCCACCCCACCTCCCCTTCCTTAATTTCCTTCTGGTATTTTAATATGTGTCTCATTCACCCAATAGAGGCACAGCTTATATCTGCCTCTAAAGTTTTAGAATCAGGAAAAAATGTAACGAGAAACAAGATTTAAAATGAGAATTTCATCTCTGTTTTTTCCCCCTTTGCCCTTCATTTCCTTGATCCTGAAATGGCTGGAGTTCCAGGAGAAGCAAAAAGACCAAGACAAAAAAGGACAACTCAGGTAAACAGGGGGTACCGGGCACCGTGTCTCAGAGAACCTTTTGCTCTGCAAATGCAGGAATGGAATTGTCTCTCGCTCCCCGTCCCAGAGTTTCTAGCTGTCAGGATGTCCTTTCATACCTTACCTTGGAGTTCCTCTAGAGTCTAGACTCTCTGGCCACCATAGTCAACTTGGCACCAAATCCTCCCAATTTCTTTCTTTGAAATGTGTCCTATACCGACAGATCCTCCCCTTGTCCACCTATCACCTCTTGCCTGAACTACTAGAGCAATCCTCTAGTTCACTCATTCATTTGCTCATTCAGAAACATGCTACTGAGTACTTGGTAAGTGCCAAACACTGTTGTAGGCTTTGGCGTCCCAGTGAAGGAAGACACAGTAGCCCCTCCAAGGGGTTTATAATTTGGTGGGGTCAGATGGGTAAATCCCCAGATTACAAAACCTCTTTTTCCAGGCAGCACTCAGAGCTCACGCCTAGGGTGCCACAGCGGCACAAAGGCAGGGTGCCTCACTCCCCCCAGGAAGCTGTCCCAGAGGCCTGGGGTCTGAGCCAAGTCACAGAGGATGAGGACAAGCAGGCTGGCCAAAGCATTAGAGTCAGGGCATTCTGGGAAGAGACAGAGTCCGTGTGACTGGAACAGCAGCTGATTCCCTGTTTATCTCCAGGTTCTGGTTTACCCCAAATCCACTCATTTAAAGACACACACATACACACACACACACACACACACACACACACACACACTGATTTCAGAGAGGAAGGGAGAGGGAGAAAGATATAGAAACATCAGTGATGAGCCCTAGCTGGTTTGGCTCAGTGGATAAAGCGTCAGCCTGCGGACTGAAGAGTCCTGGGTTCAATTCCAGTCATGGGCATATCTCTGGTTGTGGGCTCGAACCCAGTAGGGGGCGTGTAGGAGGCAGCCGATCAGTGATTCTCTCACCATTGATGTTTCTATCTCTCTCTCTCCCTTCCTCTCTGCATCAATAAAAATATTTTTTTTTAAAAAAAGAAACATTAATGATGAGAGAGAATCATTGATCAGCTGCCTCCTGCACACTCTTGAGCCCACAACCCGGGCATGTGCCCTGACAGGGAATTGAACTGTGACCTCCTGGTTCATAGGTTGATGCTCAACCAGAGCCACGCCAGCTGGGCAAATCCACTCATTTTGGCATGCATGACTCTACATTAACTTCTCCTCTCTTACCCATCTCACTGGTCACTTTCTCCTCCTCAATTAGGTGCCCTCTGCCTCATCTCCTTCTCTAGCCCAAATCTTCCACTCTAGCCACACATGGGCCATCCTTGTCCATGCCTTAGACATCCTCCCTCTGCCCCCTCCCCCTGATGCTGCATTCTAAATCCTATCTTTCCTTCCAGGTACACCTCACAACACCTTTCTGCCCAGACAAAACTTTCCTTGGTCATAACCTTTGTTACATGATTCCCTAATTGTTTCATAGGTTTCAATCTTGTTTCTTCAACGAATACTACAATTTCTTCCACGCCCCTGAATTATCCACAGTGGCAAGCACCAGACTGGGAACACAATAGCTCAGTAAATATCCATGCACCACACCATTAATAAATTATTCCTCCAAACTGGCTCAGGAAGCAGCCAGAATTTCATGTTATATTTAGAAATTTAGAGGAGTATGTAGATCCCAGGGGCGCTCTGCCAACTTTCATTCAGGCCAGGGATTACACACTCAACTGTCTGCAGATGGTATAAATGGGTAAAGAGGCTACATGTCATGGATCTAAGGAATGGTTGACTTTTCTCTCAACTCTATCATAAGCAAAACAGCAGCTGGGCTGACACTTGGTTTCAGCATTGAGGAGACAATAGGGAGTGACAGGGACAGTGGCAATGAGAAAGTGGAGGTTTTAATTAAGGCTTCAATTAATTGTTTCCATGCTAGAACACAGGCCTGGTGTTGCTAGATACTCTGGTTTTTTTTTTTTTTTTCAAGAGAAGCCAAAAAACTGGATTTTTATGTGACATATTCCCCACCCATAAAAAAAATTAAAGCACAGTGTAGGCCAACACTTAGTGGGCACACAAAACATATCTACAGGCCAAATCCAGCCTGGAGGCTGCCAGGCCCCAGCCCCCGCCCTAAATGTGAGTGGAGCTGATGCTGGCCCACATTTTCTTCAAATCTGTGAATGCCTCCTCATGTTATGTAACTGATAATAAAACGGTGATTCCTTTCTGTTTTGGCACATACATCCAATCACACATGCGCACGTGCACACACACACACCACACCCCTTTGAGGTTAAGGCTGAGGAAAACAGAAATAGACAATATTTACATTCTAGGACTTCAGAGAACAGCTACAATTTCAGAGTCATAGGCTATCTGGTGTCACAGACACTGCCACTCCCGAGATGTCCCTGGGCTGATTTCAAATAGTCATCCTGGGGAGCCCTCAGGACCCTTCTCTTTCCTTGGAGCTAAAGAAACTCATTTTCTTTTTGGACCAAGCAGTGTACCCTCTCAGTCAGAAGGAGAGTCACACTCCAACCTCTTGGAACTTTTGGAAAGAGAGAGAGAGAGAGAGAGAGAGAGAGAGAGAGAGAGAACTACGTTATGAAAAACCAGTATCCCGAAGCTTGCCTGGGTGGCTAAACCTTTCAACTCTCCATCAGCAGGTGGTGTGACCTGTTGAAGTGCTTCCCAGACCTGAATGTGCAGACTAGGGTCTTGTTAAAATGCAGAATCTGTTCAGTGGCCCTGGGTGAACCTGAAACTGCATTTCTTCTTTTTTTTAAAAAAATTGTCGATTACATTTTGCATTCAACACCAATTTGTATTAGTTTCAGGTACATAGCACAGCAGATAGACATTCATACAGAGGTTACAAAGTGTTCCCTTGAAACTCTACATTTCTAACATGATCCCTGGCGATGCCAAAGCTGCTGGGCTGTGAGCCATCCTTTGAGGAGCTGAGGCCAAGTGGACCGAGAACAGGATCTGGCTTAAGGCCACCTGGGTTCAAGCCCATTGCTAGTTCAGCTAGCTGAATCTCCCGGGCAAGTTCACGCAGTTAACCTCTCCAGCCACATTGGTTCCTCCCTTTCACTGGCGTTGCCTTGTTCCCATGATATAGTGCTAAAATCATGGGCTCCGGAGCCAGGCTGGCTGGCTTTGAACCCTGGCTCTGCCTCAGTATGTGACCCTGGGTAAGTAACTTAACCTTGCTGGGCCTCAGAGTCCTCATACGGCAGTGCTGACCTCTCGGGCTCTCTGTGAGGATTAAATGAGTATTAGTACACATAATTGTTTGGACTAGTACCTGACCCGTTAATAAACACCCTGCAGATGGTGGCCATCCTCTGTGAGCATGCTCTGTGAATTAAAGTGCAAACAAATGCCTCCTCTCTTTGACCCAGAGAAAGATAATTCCAGTGAAGACAGCATTCCGTGCACCCGCGACCTCAGTTGGAGGGATTCCTTGACCTATGGAGAGTGGGAAAGGGAGAATCCCTCTGGGCCGCAGCCCCTCTCACTCCTCAGCACGTTGGCAGCCTCCACGAGGCCACAGCTGACTCTATTCATAGGTACGGTCATGGGATTCATCTGGCTGCCTCAGGACGGACCGGGAGTTTGACCTCAGGCAGGGGTTCAGATCCTGGGTCCCCAGGGTACTGCCTGGAGGCTGTGGGGTGGGAGTTGGGGGTGCCAACCACAGCACTTCAGCCATTTTCCCCTGCCCTGGTCTTCTTTACCTCCAATTGGGCTGAGTGAAACGCTGAGTGTGGCACCTCAGGAGCCCCCAGAGGCCTTTGAGAGTTCCTACAAAGTGGCTCTGAGGGGATAGAGACTGGGATGGCACTGTTGTCGCTAGAGCTGCTTTCTCTCTGTGGGTGGAGACATGAGGGCTGCCTCTGCAGTTCCGTGGGCTCTGCCTTTGAGGAGGTGAGGACCCGGCTCTCCCTTTTCTTTTTCTGAGCTCTTGGGGAGCCTCAACCGTCTGCTGCAGAAAGTGAGGAGGAGCGTGGCCAGGAGGGGTGGGAGTAGGGGCAACTTCCCTGGGCCCAGCCCGTATCTCTCCATGCTCCAAGGCTCATCCATCCATCCATGTATTCATTTAACACACAATCATTAACTACTCCCTATGTGCTTTCTAACCCAGTGGTTCCCAACCTGTTTTGGCTATGCCCCATCTAAGCATCTCTAACATCCTATGCCCCCTCACCCCCCGTGACATATAATTCTTATTATTCAAAAAGTGAACTCCTATTCATGGGGAGGAAGCCTAAAAGGCCATTAACTTGTTTGTTTGTTTTTTTACACTAAGCAACCCATGGGTCGTTTTTTTTCTAAAAGGCCATTAACTTGGTCTAAACAAGCTTCCAAAGAACATGGTATCCATGAAAGAGAAAAATAAAAGAATGAAAGGACAGTTGAAGTACTGAGGAAGAGATCACTAAGAAATTGTTTAAAAAATAGTAAAAATATGAAGTGATATGAAAAAATAGCAAATAAAGTTTCAAAACTGTATAATAGAGAACTGAAATGCATAAATATGTCACAATATATATTTATATACTATATATGAGGCCCTTAGAACCATAAGAAATGCAAAAAATTCACTGTTAATAACTCATTCTCAAATCGCCCCCCTGAAAAATCAAATTGCCCCCAGTGGGTCATGTGCCCCATGTTGGGAACCACTGGTGTAACCGGAGATAGGTAGAGTGGTTTCTGTTTCCTAGAGTCAAATATTATTAATAAACCACTAACTCTTATAAGATACCTGTAATTAATAGTTGACAATTTAAAAAACTAACACAAATATCTGTGTGCCCACAGAAGAGCTATTTAGGCAAGCTATATCTTATTGAATTTTTTCTCTTTTAAATTAACAGGAAATTCTATTTGAGCCACCCTTTCACATTGGGGAGAATCGAAGCGGCCCTTGCCAACACCGCTCTGCAGCATTCAACTTTCTGAGGGACTCTGTCTGAATGGAGAGAAGGAGAAAGCTGCAGCCAAGGAAAATCTAGCATCACCTCACGTGGATAGCATAGCCTTTCCTTGGAGACCCATTTGGGAGCGTGGCTTCCAGATGAAAAGCATTATCCAGCACGTAACTTTGTGACCTCCTCGCCTCCTTTCCACCACCAGGCAGGCACAAGAAGACATGCTCTCGGAAGGGCCAGGACCACCGAGAGAAAGAGAAAAGGGAGGGAAGGGGAGCAGGATCAGAGGAGAGGTGGAAGAGAACAAGATGGAGGTGAAGAGGAAGGTGGGGGGAGGAGATCAGAAAAGACGGGAGATAAGGAGAGATGGTAAGAAAAGGAAACAGGAGAGAGTTGGGAGAGAAGCTGGAGAACAAGAGAAGAAATATGCCTCACCAAGCTCCTAATTACCTAATTTAAAACTTGAAAGTAAGGCCATATACAAAAAAAAATAATAATAATGTGTTTTCTTCTCTGCTTAGACTAGTATAAGGGGCCAGGTATGAATTCTAGCCACGGGCCTCTCTTTCTCTTTTGGCCCAGTTTTTCTTTTTTCTTTTATTTTTCATGTTTCTTCATTTCAAAGAAGTTGGGGTTGTTTTTTCCCATCACCATTTATCCCCTCTGTACCCTCTACCACCTCCACCCACCCCTCAGGTTTCTTGTTAGCCCCACTTTTCTGAGTTAAGTTTGGGACCTTCTTTCTTAGCCCATCCCTAACTTGGACTTGCTAGCCAGGCCCTGTTGTCCCACACGGAGGCTTGGGTGTGAGACTACACAAGATTCCTGCAGGAGGTAGTTAGGCAAGATGTGTGAGATAGAGGGGATTTCTCTTTTGTATTTAAACTTGCTAACTTGGCTCATGTCTCAGCCCTACAAACTCTGGCTCGATTTACTTCATATATGACACCCCCTTGAAATGTCAACACACCTTGTTAGTGCTCATTAAATGATCAATTCCAAAGAGAGGACATACAGGCCCCGAGCACAGGTGAAATCAGTGGTTCATCGATTATAGACCAAGAGAGTTATTAATGAGTGTCTGTCAGATGGCCCATGGACCAGCCTCTTTTTAAAATGGGCAGTATTTCATCTTCAATAAAAACCAGGCTATGAATATTTCAGAAAGGCTGCCCGCCCTTTATCCCCTCTGTACCCTCTACCACCTCCACCCCCAATTGGAAAGTGTTTTTGGAGATCTTGCTTTGATTCAAGATTTCCTAGGAGGGTCTTTTTCTTCACTGAAGTGGTTTTCAAACTGAAATTGTTAGAGGGCTAAAAAGTAAGCCCCTGGATGTAAGCTCCAAGGAATCATTAGGTTCTAGTTCTTTTTTTCTTTTTTTTTTTGTGGGCGTCTTAAGTACTTTATTTATTTAGGATTTATACCCCCAACCAATTGTAAAAGAATAAAAAATGTAGTCCAAAATAAGAAATTCAGGGAACAAAAATGGAACACCAGTCACCATAAGTGGAATTAGAAAGAATGACACTGCTGGGGTCCAACCCCAGCAGGTCCAGGGGTCCCCAAAGGTGTGGACAGAGTCGGCGAAGAAGGAATGGCATGGAGACAGCGTTCAGTTGATCAGCAGCCTTGCTAGGATCTCTAGCCACAATCTCCAGCCAAGTCCTGTGTCCATGTTCTCTTGCTAGGTTCTCCAGCCAGGTTCTCCAGTTCTCCAGCCAGGTTCTGTAGCCAAGTTCTCTCGCTAGGTTCTCCAGCCAGGTTCGGTTTAGGTTCTCCAGCCAGGTTCGGTCGCCAGGTTCTGTAGCCGGGTTCTTCAGCCAGGTTCTGTCTAGGTTCTCCAACCAAGTCCTGCAGCCAGGTCTGTCCAGGATCTTTTGCCATGTTCTCTCCAGCGAAGTTCTTCTGTCTCTAGGTTCTGTGTAGGTTCTGTCTTCTGAGTTCTGTCTTCTAAGTTCTGTCAGGTTCTAGTTCTTAGTGATTTCGATAGCCACATAGATGATTCTTCCCATGGTCCCTGTTCTTTGAACTGCTGCCCAATGGTCTCGTCCTCCACCCTCCTCAGCCACCGACTCCCCTGATTTTACCCGTTTGTCAATAATCCATTATTGCCATTCTTCAGCTATACCACCTCCCATCTTTTCCCCTGAGTCCAATATCCTTCCACCCCGCTAACCCTGCAATCTATTCCTCCTTCTGGGTTTCCACTGTCCCTCACTTTCCTCATGCCCTAGGTGACCCCATCATGGAGGTAGTGCTAAAGGGAAAGAAGTTGGCGTTGTTCAATACAGTTAGCAGTTGATACTGTTGGCATAAGAAATGTTCAAACCTGTAGACAATTTTTATGAATTTATTTGAGCCACTGATGGCAATTGCCAGGAAGCAAAATCTAAATGGATCGAGAAAATGCTCTGGAGAATGGCAGTTTTGTAGCTTATTTTATTTTATTAAATATGGTTTCATTTATCTCAGAGAGGGAGAGAGAGAGAGAGAGAGAGAGAAAAACATCAATGATGGGAGAGAATCATTGATCAGCTGCCTCCTGCATGCCCCCCACTGGGGATTGAGCTCGCAACCCAACCCGGGCATGTGCCCTTGACTGGAATCAAACCCAGGACTCTTCAGTCTGCTGGCCAATACTCTTGAGCTCGCAACCCGGGCATGTGCCCTTGACTGGAATCAAACCCAGGACTCTTCAGTCTGCTGGCCAATACTCTTTCCACTGAGCCAAATCAGCTAGAGCTGTAGCTTATTTCATACATGAGAATAAAAGGAGGAGATGTAAGGAGGTTTACATGAAATCCCTTGGTGGTAGATTAGGGAAGTAGGAGAGAGCAAAACTGGGGAATCTCTGAGATTGGCTAAAAAGCAAGATGGAGAAAAACATCTTTTACATTGGTGGGTACAGGATAGTGAATAATTAAAATTTACAGCATATAGAGATGGTATGCGTGGGACAAGAAAACAGTAAGGGGTTCTGTGGTCTCGGGCTCTGGTGCCCACGATTGTGCACTGAGGGGGTCTGGAAAGGATTACTTGGACATCTCAAAGGTATGTTATTTTAGATGCAAAACAACAATTGAGACCCTAGCCTGGTAGCACAGTTGGTTAGAGCATCATCAGACACACCAAGGTTTCCGGTTTGATCTCCAGTCAGGGTACATACAAGAATCACCCAGTAAATGCATAAATAAGTGGAAAAACAAATCGATGTTTCTCCCTCTTTCTCCCTTCCTCCCTCCCTCTCTCTGTAAAAAAAAAAAAAATCAAAAAAATCAAAAAAATTTTTTTAAGGCAATAGCCTTAGTTAAGGTACATTGACCATTGTCGCCAGTGGTTGAGCATCGATCTATGAACCAGGAGGTCAGGGTTCTATAACCCATCAAGGCACATGCAGGGGTTGCGAGCTCCATCCCCATCATTGCTGTAGCTCCCTCTGCCTTCCTGTCTGAAATCAATAAAAACATATTAAAAAGAAAAAGATTGCCCTAATCGGTTTGGCTCAGTGGATAGAGCGTCAGCCTGTGGACTGAAGGGTCTCAGGTTCGATTCCCGTCGGGGGCATGTATGTACCTTGGCTGCGGGCACATCCCCAGGAGGGGGTGTGCAGGAGGCAGCTGATCCATGTTTCTCTCTCATCAATGTTTCTAACTCTCTATCCTGCTCCCTTCCTCTCTGTAAAAAATCAATAAAACATTTTAAAAAATAAAAAATAATATTGACCTTTGTCAAGGAAGCTATCACCCACCCTGACCCGCTTTTAGTTAGACTTCTTTTAGGTTCAGACTATCCGGTGTGGTTGCTTTTGGCCTCTGAGTTTGTAAGGCCCGCTGGGGAGGCCTCCCCAGAGCCTCTCGGGTTTAGCAAGTGGCCCCTTTCTCATTCACAGCACCGTGGGACGGATCCAACCCCAGGCACTGGGGCAGGAGGCAACCAACCAGCAGGGTTATTCAAGAAGCCCCGCCGAGGCCCAGTCACGCGCTGTGACCCAGGAGCGGAGGCAGGAGGCCGCGCCCACAAGCCGCCCTGCCCCGGGCAAGGGGGCTGGGGCCGCCGTCCCCACCGGACTCAGGGCCAGTGCTGGACGGGGATTCGGTCCACGCAGCTGGGCGCGCTGGCGGGGACGTGGCGCTTTCCAGCCAATCCCGGCTACTCGACTGTGGGACCAATGGCGACCCAAGGAAGCTCTGCGTCCGCTGCGCGGTTGTTGCTGATTGGTCGGGAGGCCGCTGGCGAGGCGGCAGGGGCGGGGCGAGGGACCGCTTCCGGTTAGGCGGTGCTGGCGCGCGCGAGCGGAGCCGGTGGGTGAGCGGCGGCTGCGGCACCTTGGGCTCCGGTGCTAGCAGGCAAGGTAAGTGCGAGTGGGCACCCCCCTTTCTCATCAGCCTCGTCTTTTTTCGTTTTCTTTTTGTCCTCGGGCTTCGCTCCCGGCGCCGCCGGGATCTCCCTCGCCCCCGGCCTGTGTTTCTGCCAGTTCGGGGAGGTGGGCCTGAGCCGGCTC